GTTTTGTTTTGTAGAAAACATGGAAACACCAAAGACGCTTTAATACAGTATGTTGTGCGTTTTAATAGACCGGTGACGACCGTGCAGAGTAGCATTATAACAGAACTTTCAAATGTATCTAGTATGATAAAAAAAAGCGCTGCTTACTTCCGCTGCTTTCCGGAAGGCGTGGAAGCGGTCGACTGTGGCATAATAAAAGCTCCGCTGCTTTCAAGCCGTGTGTCGCGCTTGTTCAGCGGCCTCGTTTTGCTTCGACGGCTTTCAGCCTCACCCTGCTTCATACTACTACGTTAATAAATCTTTAATACGTTAGCTCATCCATGAACATGATTTCGGCCCGAGTCCCATCGGATTGCTTCGGCTGTGGGGATGAAGGCGACAACTCCCATGATTCCACACCCAGTCATGGCGTCATCTAACTACGCCTTTGTTTCTTTGTTTGTTTTGAATACGCGCCCTCTAGTGGCAAAAAATTACATATTGTGCCTTTAATTGGATCAGTCTGGTGCAGGCTTCTCATGCTCCCCTGAGTCAACGGCTAAGGTAAGACAATCAAAGTGCAAAAAAACTAAATATTTGTCCCGGAGGATCCACATGTGATAATAGACTTGATATAAATGCGTTTTCTACAAAAACATGTGTTAAGACTAATGCATGTCTCTCTCTATTTACATACACTAATCAAGATGCATTGTAAGCCATCATTGACACATTTCAGGAGATAAAAATGGCAGTTTCAGTACATTACTATTCCAGTTATACCATGAATGTGGTGAAGATTTTATTTTAAGATACTAATCTGCTGTAAAGCAGCTTTATTGACCTTAATGTTGTGCATACATGATTGAACTTGTTCTTATCAATAAATCATCTGCTTTACCCACAGAAACATGCCCGCACATACCCAACAGTCCATCAGTTGAAAAAAGACAGTAAGAGCTCTGGGATGCATTTGGGACAGAGCCAAACATTATTTTTGCTATTCCGAGAGCCACTGGTGTCACACAAATGACTTTTCTACATTTTACTTTATCATACCATTGGAATGCACATGTTGATTCTGCAGAAAACATATAATGTCAAAAAAAGTGTAAAATCATTCCTTTAATGGTAAAACTGCAGTAAAAGATCTGTACCTAATCTACCCCTAAAGGGTGCATGTTTGTACCTTAAGGGTACCTATTAGTATCTTAAGATACTAATATGCACTCTTTACAGTAACATGACATACAAAAGGTGTACTTTTTGAGGGAACAGTCTCAGTAACAAGCTAATTTTGGCACTTTTTCTGACTGTGCAGCTAGCTACTACCTCATAAATACATCTGAAAACATTTCGGAACCCTTGTTTTAAGTCTACACAATAACCTTAGTAACTGCCCAACAATGGAATAAACTCATGTGAAATTTCTATTTTAAAAAGCGTTGAAGTAATACTTACATCTGGGTATTCTTTGACAGGCACAAAGAGTTTCTCTTGGAGTTGTGCAATGGGCCCCACAGCATCCGGGAGCTCGGAAGTCCTTTTATCTGTGCTGCCGTTCAGAGTGTCATTGTACATGTCCTTCCGTACCCGTCCAATTTCTGTCAAACAGACACATTAAGAACTCAATTATATTAAGCCACTCTGAATTAAGACTTGGATAGAGGTTATAAGCCAAACAGGCTTAAAGGGATAGTTTATCTAAAAATGAACATTTTGCCACCATTTACCCACCCTCTTGTCATTCCAAACATGTATGACTTATTTTAATTTGTGGATCACAAAAGAAGATATTTTGAAAAAATCTCTGTGTTTTAGTCCATACAATGGAAGTTAATAGGTACCAAAGCTGTTTGGTTACAAACATCCTTCAAAATATGCTTGCAGGTTTGAAACGGCATGAGGGTGAGTAAATGATGACAGACATTTTTATGTTTGGGTGAACTATTGGGTTTAACATCTGATAGAGGAAAACTTCCTCAAAGATCATGTCAAATTTTTCACACTTCAAAAACAATGCAGTTCTCCACATAGATTTTTTTCCATAAAAGTTGCTTCATTTATCTTTAAAAACAAAGAGAAGTACTTTCTGTTATAAATGACTTGCTGAAGTCTTGATGAGTTCATGCAAAACTATTTAATTCAAAAGCAACTCCTAAAGGGTATGAGAGCCCAGCCAGCCATGGAGGAACTAGCGCACCATGATGTGCATTCACAAAGAGTGAATCAGACACCAGCTTTTTGAATGCTCGCCGGTCCAAACCGAGGAATTCCAAAGAGACCAGCTTAAAAGACTGAAGCAATAATTATTGTTTAACAAAAGCTCTTTGGAGGATATTGGGAAGAAGTAGCAGTATATTACAATGGATTTACACTGATGTACAATATGGTTCAAAATGACAACATCAAAGCATGGCCCAGGCCTGCAGATTAAAATGACCGAAATATAACCCTGAGCTGAGCTAGCCATAGCCTGCTGGGCTCCCATAGGATCCTCCCAGAGTAAAGCAGAGAACCTCAACAAGATCTCATAGGCAATAAGTCAACAGTACTCAGCACTGTGTCCTCTGAACTCCACCGACAACACCACTCACAGTCCCAAAAAACGAACATGATTGTTTTCATCATCTCTCATATGCCTTACATTAGTGAACACAAGCATGTAAGCACATTTACACTCAATTACATGCAACATATGCTCTTGGCACGAGTCCATCTAACCATGTGTCCGATTCCTAAAACAGTGTTTTCTGATTTACAATGTTTTAAATGAATCCCAACTGGTTAAATTAGGGCTGGTTTTGTCTGCCCATATGCTATCATTCTGAATAAAGTTGATAAAATAAACACTCTGAGTAAAATCAGCCATGCAAGGTCCCACAATGAAGCACAAATCCAAACATCAGCTCAAATTGCTCAAAGCCAATTAATTTACACATTCTGGCACTTACACGTGAAATTGGTATAATTGGTCACTTTACATTGAGTGCTGAAAGGGGATTAAACAGTCAGCCAGAAGTTTATACCGGGTTTTGTTTGACTCTATGGCTTAACATTCCAATAGTCTCAAAACTTTGGACTAAGCATGACTTATCCCATGAGTCACAAGGGCTGGGCGAAATATACAATGTTCACAATGATTCTGCTGGCAATATTAAACAAGCAACACTGTGAATATCACAAGTTTCATGGTTTTTATTCGTCCGTTAAGTTAAAAGGATAGTTTACCCAAAAATATCAATTCTGTCAACATTTACTCACCCTCATAAGACTTCCATTCATCTTCGGAACATTTTTTTAAAGGGGTCCTATTATGCTCTTTTACAAAGTCTTGATTTTGTTTTGGGGGTGTACTAGAACAGGCTCTCATACTAGGTTGTTCGAAAAACACATGATTTTTCACATATTTTACATTATTACAACACCTCTCTCCCCAGTCTGGCATGAATGGCTCGAATAGTTCCTGTATCAAATGAAGGCCCGCCTTCTGAAATACGAAATGTGCTGTGATTGGTTAGCTGGGCCAGTGTGTGTTGTGATTGGCAGCACTCGGCGCCTGCTCGGGAAATATCATGCCGCTTACCATAGCCGCCTGCGAGCTTCAATGTAAATATTGCGTCAAAATCAAATCAATTTGAGCACGATTTAAACCCGGATGATTGTAATCACTCTAAGTTCGTCTGCCTTGGAAAAGCTAGTGTGTCTCCGACATAGTGATAACACTCGTTGCCTCTCTAGTGCAGCTCAACCAGGTCTCGTCCCATTCGTCGATATTTGTGATATCACAAATCCCAGAAAATATGCGTTGTAGTCCAAACGAGTCGTTCGTTGTAGTTTTTGAAAAGTGATTTCTGTTAAATAAAATATCTCCTTTTGAAGTGGACTTTGAGCTTTGTAACTTTGCAAATCTTTTTTATGCTCAAACAGCAACATTACAGACTAACTAAAGTTGAAAAAGTGAAAAAGCATAATAGGACCCCTTTAATACAAATGATTCATTTGCATATTTGGTGCAAATGAAAATGAATAATACTGATATTAAGTCAATCTTCCTTGCGTTTGTTTAGCAAAAATCCATTTGAAAACACTTAACATTTTGGAACTGCTTGGAAACAATGACATTTTGGTTGAAATGGTGATTCCTCAGTGAAAAACATTACAGAACAAATACATAAATAGATTGAAAATTGAAAAAATGAACAGTAAAATAAATACTACTGTCTGTTTTAACCATATATATTTTCTCTGCAGAACAGCTGAGATGACATAAGACATATAATTTTCCACCCCCAGTTTAGCTGTTATTAGCACAATCTTCAAGTGCACTAAAAACAAACATTACAGGCGACTGGTCAACACTGCAAAACCACTACATACACAGACAGTGAGATAGTCCTTCCTACTGCTGCTGTAGACCGTCATTTACACGTGTGTGCGTGTGTGTGTATGTGTGTGTGTGTGTGTGTGTGTGACCGAGAGAGAGAGCACAAGATGACTCTGATTACAGTTTGTGTTTGTTTACTGTCATCTGAGTCTAGCTGTCCAATACTACAGTATGATACAGTTGGTCTGGTATGGCAGCAGGTGAGCAACGGCTACATCACTGAGACATAAATATCACCTCCATAATGCTAGCAGTTCTCCTGCACTTTAAACACACAACGCTACAGATAACCTATTCAGTTGCTGTTATTTACTAATGACACACTGTCATGCGTCTGGCTTAAATTACTACTTCTGGCACCTTTAGTATTTTTCACACTTTTAGTGTCAGCCATGGGAAGTTTGTGCCTATATTATCATTTCAAACAGGCAAATTTGGATGCAATTTTTAGACTTTTTGAAACTTGAAACGGTTTAAAAGAAAGAACTGGAAATCAGAGATATGTGCTGGCAGAAAAACAAGTGTGATTTAATGTGAGATGTCAGACACATTCCTTGGTCGTTTAGCGAACAAAAGTGTTGTTGCTGGACACTGGATAAAGACAAAGCGGTTACTCAACCAAACACTGCTTCACAGTATGTGCCATTACATAAGGCTCAAAAAGATAGGTGCACATACACACACAAATTCATATAAACGACAGAAGTGGAGACTATACATGCTAGCCCAGTGTGTTGTTATTGGCTAAACCGCATCTAGCGCGCGTCTAACCGTCCCGCCCCTCACCTCGGCGGCATGTGCTCCGGTTGCATTGTAAACAACTGCATCGTTAATATCGCTTATCAGTTTGAGCCCGATTGAGAAGCAGCAACTTTACAGATCTTCTTTATGCACCAAGAGCTTGTAACACTCTAAAGAGAAAGGAAAAAATGAAATCGCATCATATGACCCCTTTAAAATTGTATGTACCAATTCATAGTAAAGTGTACGTCATGCACCGGATAGTTTTAAGACTTTGGAACAGAAACAGATTATTTCAGTCTCTCGTACACAGTGAAGTTGACCATCTGTGGCAGTGTGGGAGAGATGAGAGATGCTGAGATAAACAGAGGAAATGCGATAAAGAAAGGTAAATAAATAAATAAAAGATAGAAAAGGTTGCAAGAGGGATGAAAGAGTAGACCGCAAACAGTGAAGCCATCTGGATACTCGTCGACTGCCAGGAAACTGTCTGACTCCTCCTTCGTTTTCACACACAGAGAACAGACACCACAGTTACTGCAATTGTCAGGTTGTTAGTGACAGTGTAAAAACAAATGTGTACATGCAAGAACAATATTTCCCTTCGCTCTGACAATATATCTTCAAACTGCATGCTGTTTTCAGCTGCAGTCCAAATACTTGTGGTGAAAGCAGATCTATTTCAACTGCAACTATTGTACAGTCATTTTAACCAATAACCAATGACTTATGATATCTCTTCCCATATACAGTGCTTCAAAAAAAACTTGGGGTCAGTACGTTTTTAAAATGTTTATTCTTTTTTTAAATCTGCATTTATTCCAAACAAAAATATAACAAAACAAAAATATAATAAACACTACCCTCGTGGCCAAAAGTTTTGGCAGTGACATAAATTGTGTGTTTTGCAACTCCTTGAAGTTCTTGATGGAATTAAGTAAAGTAAAGTAAAGTGCAATTTACTTTGTAGCAATTTCCTTGCATGTGAGGCCATTTTGATGCAAATCGATGATGGCTGCACGTGTTTCTTTGGAGGTAACCATTGCTGTGAATGAACAACACAACAGCTTAAGCAGCAAACTTTGCGCAAAACAAAATTTGTCACTGCCAAAACTTTTGGCCATGACTGTATATCTTTACTGTCACTTTTGATCAATTTAATGCATCCTTGATGAGTAAAAATATTCATTACTGACTCAATGTTTGAACCGTAGTGTATATGTCTCAAAAACATCATAAACGCGCAGTATAAAATTAGTCTACATGATTTATACGCTATATTCCAATTATTCTGAAGCCATCCGATAGCTATGTATGATGAACAGACTCAAATGCAAGTAATTTTTCACTGAAAATCATGCCTTCTGCCATAATTCTTAAAATAAACAGAGTGGCAACTTCGATGTCAATGATGTTTGGTCATGTGATGTGGCGCAAGAACCAATATTGTCTGATGATGGCATTCAACCTGACATG